CTTTATCTTCTGCCACAAATTAATAAGTACTCACACAGACAACATAATTGACTGCGCTCATTTCTGACTCATTCTACAAATGCAGTCCGCAAAGAACAAATTCTCAGGAAGTTACAGTGTGAAGAAAATGTACTATGGGTACGTAAGATAAAGTAAACATAAGTACCAAGATGATGCAAACAGCATTTGCAAAATTGATAATGCTGTTTGATACAGATAACATCCTGGACTCTTAAAGAGGAAATCAATTTTCCTTCCACAATTCATAAGATGACACCCTGTCACATCACCGGTTCACAACCTTTAGCTCTCCAGACCTGAAAGCTTTAATTACCAGCCCCTGATCAGAGATGTTACGCAGGAGGTGGAGACATTTTGCAGTGAGAGATCTTGAGCTTCCTTTCCAGCTTTGTAAAAGACCGCTCACCTCAGCAAGCACAGATCCTTTTTTTCCTGTACTTGGCCACAACTGCTTATCCCACTTCCACTTCCTCTTGCCTAGCACCACTACCTACTTCTCCTCCACTCATCTCCTCCTGACAGCATGGGATCACCATTCTCTCAGCTTACTCTCCAGGCAGTCTGGTTTCCTCTCTGAGCTCCTCATCCTTTAATTCACTATTCCCTGCCAGCTCCCTTTTACACAGCCTTTTTGTCAGTTTGTGCCTTCTGAGATTTACAGCTTTTCTGATTTCCATTTCCTTTTCTAAGTCTCTTCTCTCTTGTCCCACCTCCTCCTTTTAATCTCTACTTGCTCAGTCCTTTCCAATACATTTTCAACTTTCTGCTTTTCACACACAACCTCAGCTTCTCATAACCCCAAAATGCTGTTTGAAGTGGTGATGCCTGATTTGATGGCTTCAAAGAATAGGGGATACAGCGTTACCAAGAAACCCTCTCTGAGATCACTGGTGACAGTTCTGATGTACTCCACATTGGTCTCTAGGGTTGAAGAAAGTCTGTTGGAAATAGGTGATTTTTAAGAAATTTTTCACATGAGTTGTACATAAGTATAACTCAGCTTGAATAAGCTCTTGTGGTCTAGCAGGGCAGCTCATAAGAGCACTCTCTCTCCAACACAGGGATTTTGCAGAGAAACTTTGCAGATGCTCTTATTCTTTTAAGAAATGGCCTTTTCTCCTTTAAGCACCAAGGAAAAGAAATATTAAAAAAAAAAAAATTTACATTCCAAGCGATTACAAAGCATCAGAGAAAATACCTGTGGGCATAAAAGGATTTGGTATCCTCCCTCATACTGTGCTGATGGCGCACCGGCAATTTGCTTTGCATGGAAAATTACTACATTCAAATTTGGACTTCACTCAGGAAGCACAGAATATTGAAATTTCTATTGGTTAGTTGCAGAAATCTTCATAGCAGGCACGTCAGTTATCTAAGCTTTGTACAGAGAGCTGAAACTACACTTTGGTTCAAGATTATTCTCTTTGTCAACAAATTTCAAGCATCTGATTCCAAGCAAGAAGTGTTTGATTAATATAAGATTTCCAGAATTATTCAACATGTGAATTGCCAATTCCTCTTCTTCTGGAAAGTTCCAGTGCTTTTGGTAGCTTTACACAAGTGTCTTTTAATTCAAGGTGGAAAAGAAATGAAGTCCATATGGCACGTTACGTGTCAGAGCAAGCAGCTAAAGCCTGGTGGAGTTGCTATAAGAGTTAAGATAGGTTTGCAAATCAGGAAGCCCTGAGCTTTATTACCAAAGGGGCAGAAGCAGCCTTGCCCAAAGGTGGATGCAGACAGCCTGTGCAGACGATAACGCTCTGACTTTCAGAGCTTTACTTGGTCAGTGCATAAACTTGTCACCATCACTAACTGAAAGTAAAGGAAGCCTGTCTCAGGAAATCTAGCCTTCATCCCTGATTTGCTGTAAGGATCTTGCATTTTGTTGCACATATCGATACATAAGGTGCACAAGCGAAAGCAAAGAGAAATTAAACCAAAAATTCTTATTGCAGAGTGATAAGAGCTCATGCAGTGGTTGAGCAATTTCACTTTCCCGTTCATAAATCTGGAAGCAATCTCAAAATATGTTACATAAAATGTAACCAAGAGCACTATCCTGCATTATTGTAAGTATACACTTCTGCAGATGATTTGGGTTGGTCTCTGTCCCACATTTGACAGAAAGCATTTGTTACAAGAGATCTTGGCCTTGAAAACAGCCGTCATGTGCAGGAAGAGCAAGATGGGCTAACAAGTTTCAGATGGCCTTAAGAAAGCTTCCCTTGTCATTTTGAAACGAGGCTAAGGAAAGGAAGGGGAAAAGAAAAAGGACATAAAGAAGAGAGGGAGTTACAGGGATGAGAAGAAATAGGACTGGGAGACTTGAGGTAGGGGCACAGATTGTACAGACAGACACAGGTTTAAGACAGTAAGGGATCCCACTTTGAGTAGTTTTAGACACTGATGTTCTTCAGCTTTTCTTAGTTGATAAATGGATTGTGAGAAGGTCTGTCTGTGAAATGGCAAGCTTAGGAGGTTGAAGCAGCATTTGTCCCCAGGTGGTAAGTCAAAGTGACTCTAGAGACAAATACCCGCACTATGATCATTACAGCTGATGGCTTTAACAACAGGGAAAATGCAGCAGCACCCAGTGCAGGGCCAGCCATGTGCCTAAGCAGCCTCTGAGGGTCAGTAGGCGAGCAAGCACTCGGGCAAACATTCATCCTAAGTACCCACGGGATGCTGTCAGCTCCAGAACCCGACCCTTCAGGGTCATCGTGTTACCATTGATACTTTTACACTCGAAGATCACAGTACAGATGTTTTCAAAGAAAATCCTCCACACGGTATAAAATAGCCTGCATGAGATTATACTGCAGTCAGGCAGTTGCCAAGATTTACTGGTATATATAAAGCTACATTTCCACCAGTTGTTTACTGGTTTTTGTTTTTTTTTTCCTTAGTTCTTTTTATGATGAAAAAAATGAAAAGTTTTCACATAAAAAGAGTTCATGAAGAACTTGGAATAAGGTGAATCGACAGTTGAAATTATTTAGGTGCAACTGTAGCTAGTGAATGTTAAAATAATGGAATGGATATGGGTGGGTCAGGCAAGAGGAACTTTTGAGGGATTCCTGTTTCTCATTTAACTCTTTTAGGAGCATCTGTGAGTTGAGGAAATTAAGAAAATGAATAAATACATTCCCTAACTTCTAGCAGCCCATAACAAACAAATTCAGATTCCAAACACAACTGTAATTCCTTCAGAAGAGTGTGTTTTAAAATCAGCTAGAGACTGGAGCAGGATTTGAATCCATCATGCGGAAGAAGTGTGTGAGTGAGGTTACAATGCAGACAGCTGGCCAAAGCTCTGGAGGGCAATGGAGCCACAGACTGTGCCTTGAGTGAGTTCAGGAGAAGTGGCACTAAATGAGAGGAGTGCAAAACAGAGCCCTAACAGGTTGCAGAGGGCGTAGGCATGCACAATCTGATCTGCAGCCGCTGCTCATCTATCACATCTAGATAAGCCATGTGATTTTCTCCTATGGCTGTATTATGCCAGGGATGGGGAGACAATGAGTACCTAAGAATGGAACGGCTGTCAAAAGCACGGCATTGGAAGGCCTGTAGTCATTCACAGACCCCATCTCCAATCCCATTCTGCAAAATGCTTTAAAATATTTCATTAAATTTTATAAATTCTACAGCGGAGGTGAATGTAAGGCAACAGAAATGATACCAACAATAATTTGCACGTCTTGTATGAATGTCTCAACATTTTCCTGCTTTGCTATAGCAACAAGAATGTGAAAGGCTTAATTTGTTTGAAATTCTGCAGTTTATATTCTGCATAACTTGAAGTACTGTCTTTAAATATAGGAGGGCTGCTCATGGAGAATGCAGACACATATGAAGCCATACTTTTCTCACAGGCTTGTTAAGATCTCATTACCACAGCCTGCTTAATTCCTAATAAATTAACATTGCTGGTTTCTTTTTCCCCCACACTTGCAGCACTCATATCATGTATTCCTCCAAAACATTATAGAACCACTTAGAGTTTTCCCACAGTTAACTGAGCTTTGCTACCATAAATACGACAATAAATAGGGCTGTATTTCCTACTCTTAATGAGAGCAACGTCCCTTATATATCCTTTGTTACGTGGCTTAGTATGCACAGGAAAACTGAAACAGGCTTAATTTAAAAGCAGCAGAGAGCCAGCTGTTGTTCCATACAAAAGAATTCAGCCTTACTCTATTCACTACCCTACAAAATTACCGAAGCATTACTTTCACGTTTACTACTGCAACAACAAGAAGTGTTTAACATAAAAAAAACCAGAATCAAAGGAAATGATAGCCATTACAACAATCCCATGTGCAGATCTGTGTCAGCAGCTGCACAGGGGCAGCTTAACCTGAGTAAAAGCAGCACCTACACACATGGTACTCAGCTGGAATGAGGAAAACGTTACTAAAGCAAGCAGGAAGGAAGGTGGAACTCCCACCTTACTGAAGTGTTTTGCATCTGAGGGGAAACTTGAATTTAATTCAATCTTCACCTTTCCTGCTACTTGAACACCACATGCTGAATCAGGCGGCATGATTTCTGCTACCCGAGCACGATCTACTTTTTAGGAACAATCAGTTCCAATAGCACTGTGCAGTATTGTGGCAAACTACTGAACGAAGTCTAAAATGTGGATTTCAAGGCAGGTAAAAGGAGCTGGTTCTACAGGTACCTTCATGAAATATTTACAGCAAGCCTGCTTGCAGCTTAAACCGTTCCTTTTATTTGCATTCTGGCTCATAATTAGTATTAGCAACTCTCAAAGCATTAAACAAAAAAATCAGTTGATCTCAGAGCGTAGCTACTAACATTGAGAGACTGTATTACACTCAGGTTCCATAAAAGAATAATTGCCATCGCGAAGCATAAAACAGCACTGAGATACTGTAGTTCAAAATCTGCTACTTAAGTTTATTAGCTGTATGCTTTGCAATGCTCAAAGAAAAGGAGACAGATGTACTCACCCTTTGTTCCAATAAGCAAGAATATATAGACGCACCAGTCAGATGTCATATCTGTCCTTCAGCAATTCAGTGAATAAAGTCAATAAGCGTTGTCCCTTAAATTGCACCCCACCAGTGAGCTGCTGCTGTGCTCTGCCTCTGACAGCCTTCAGCAGTGCATGAAACAAGCTCCCTTCTCTCCCTTGGCTTCCCTGCTTGCTCTCCTTTGCACTGGGTCTCTCTCTCCCCCTCCTTGGCACACGAACACACCCCACAGCAGAGATAGGGGAGAAAGTTTCAGGGGGACACACCAGCTCCTCAGCTCTGCCGCACGCACCGGGGCTGCTCTGCTCAGTGGCAGGAGAAGGCTGGGCTCTGTGCATGGACACAGGTCCACCCTGGGGAGAGCTGCTGCTGCACAAAACACAGCCAGATCCAGAGAACTGTCATCATTGTCATCAATAGTCCAGGTTTTGCTGTTTTTTTGGTTTTTTTTTTCCCTTTTTTAAAGTTGTGATACTGCAAGAAGCCTGAAAAGTACAATTTTATTAAGGCAACTCTGCCTGAAACTAAATATTTTGTATGGTTTAGATAAAAGCTGGTGGCTTCTCGAGTAAGGGGAAGTGAAACATGTAAACACAGCCCTTTCTACCCATCCGGCCCCTCTCTGAAATGCAGAAAAACGCACAATGTAATTTATTTCCAATAACAGCACGCCACTATTTTTACACATCGCGGCCATAGCTGAAAGAACTAATCTGAGAGAACAAAGAGAGACGTTCAGAATTATATGCTATATGGAAGTAAGTTTTTTTCAGATTCTCTCCTTATTTAAGTGCTTTGAAAGTTCCCCTCTGCCCCTTGGCTTGGCAGCTTCCAGTAGATCCAGCAGGTATCACCTTAACTCAACCACATACACACACATGCGGTTTTTAAAATCTTTTCCAACCTTGTGAAGGCTAATGGTCACCAGTAAGATATATTTCAGATAGAGCCACTACGCTGAGATGAACTCAAGGGGAGGACTTAAATTTTATCTGTCCTGAAAGAGATTCTGAATATTTATTTTGTTTTAAAAAATCTCGGTGTTTCTAAGAGTTTGTGAGGATGGCTCAGGCCATGCTGGTAACATGGCACCAGCCACAGCTGGGTTGTTGGGAAGAAAGCATCTCAGACTAAGGAAGCGTACGCATGCATGAACACCTGCATGAAAAGGCATATTTAGAGACCGGGAAAAATCTACACCATAGGCAAGAGCAAAGCCTGCATTGTTGCTATGGCAAAGTTGTCTGCAAAATAGATATTACAAGCTGTCAGTCATCTTGTTTCTAACCTAAAAAGATGACAAAATACAGGGGGTAAACCAGAAGGTTCTTGCTTATGGAAGCCCCCCAAAAAACTGTTGGCATCCACTGTGCCAATGCTAGTATGAGGCAGTGCCTGAATAAAAATGGGTTAGGGAGCTATAGAAGATTTATTTTATAAGGTGAAAACTACTTTTGAAGCATTTCAAATAAAGCCACAAACAACCTTTCAAAGCTTGACACTTAGACAGACTATGGCTAATGTCTGAGCTGTGCAAAATGGGCTTCCAAGGTGTGAAAATTAGAGGAAGAATCTGAGCATGAAGAACGACAAATACACTTTCAGTAAACATGCTTGGGAAAAAATAAAATAAAAGCTCTACAGCTTTACTGCAGGATGAGATAGGTTCTAGAGAAAACTTCCAGAGAAGCTCTTTAGCACAGCTTCCTCTTCGGCCTTCTCATCTAGTCACCTCCATTTGAGATTGGAATTTACGTGCTTTGGGAATAGGATACTTTCACATAATAACACAACGAAACAAGAGAGCTCTTTCTTCAGAAACAGCCTGCTCTGCTACAAGAGCTTCAAGATTCTCTAGCTCAAAGTAAACAGGGAAAAAAATATATACATATATCACAAAATGCAAGACGTATCACCCACACGTTTTCTGAAGCTCTTCCCCAGCGGGAATTGTCACTGCCAGCTAATGCTTTCCTTTCTTTCAAAGACCTTTAGCAAGTACACTCATTAGAGTTAATTCTGTTGCTGACTCTATGGAAAATCCACTGAGATCTTCCCTCTTCTAAACTTCATCTACATTCTCAATAAGAACACATAAAGCAACAGAACTTTCTGGTCTTTAGGAGAGAACCGTAAGAGAGGCACCCGTTCCCTCAGTGTAATTATATTCAAACCAAGGAGCTACAGTTAGACAAAAGCAAGAATGCTTTGAAATACAGAGCGAAAGAATCAGAAGGAAGCTCATTATCAGAACATTAAATAGGACATTATTGGCTTTTAAAAAATGGTTCAGCCTTGGCTTACTGCAAAACATCTACACATTTTTGTGCACAGTAAGAACTGTTCTTATGTCTAAAGCATAAAAAGTTATAAATACTGGTGTTCTAGAGTTCTGTTTTCAAGAAAACAATAGTCTTTACATGTTAATTCCTTTTAGAGTGAGGAAATAACATATTAGAATAACATAGTACTGCTAAAGAAGACATTCAGCTTCAGTAGGATGGTCATCATGTGCTGACATTACTACTTAATTCTGTAATTAAATTCCAAGAACATCAGAGAAACCCACAGTATGGGTTATGATGTTTCCTTTACCTCATCTTAAACTGAAAGCATTCCAAAACAAAAGGTACTATTTAACATTTTCTGCCTACTTATACAGGCTAGCAGTTTGACTTTGTCTTGACAGGTATACAGTGTTGGTCTAAGATTTCAGAGCCTTGAAACTCTGCTATTTGTCAGATAAATGGAGAAAAAAGACCCAAACACACTGTACCACAAACTATCAGAAAATATTCATGAACTAAATCCAAATAAGCACAATTATTATTTTACTGGGAAGTGTCACCTCATGTGAGCACCAGAAATCTAATTAAGTACACAGGGGATAGAATAAAATAATCCTAACTTGGAAGCTCTTTCAGATAAACATTTCTTGAAAAAAATTACCACTTTGTAGTGGTATTTTCTACAGTTCACATTTGATGCTGTATAGAAGGAACCTCATACAAGCAAACGAATCATATCTGTGTATAACCTTTGTAAATATCACAATTAAAAAAAATACCAACCTGTAAATCATCGCTACTGTGGAAATAAAGTAGAATTTATTTTCAGCTTGGAGAATAAGGTGTGCTTATCCACAGGCTGCAGCTTCGCCCTTGGAGGTTAACAAATATTTTATCTCAAACTCTGAGTGTGGCATACATACATTACAGCTGATAAACGCCAAGCAGATTCTCCAGTACAGGTGGAAGCAATTGGTGGATAAAAGGTGGATACTGCTATGTTTTAATCTATGGGGAGGAGGTAAATGCATATAAACTCTACCTGCTACTACACTGCTCCAAGTACTAAGTAGTACAGACCTACCTAAGAGTTATTTTTTACTCTTTTCTAATGTGGGAATTTTGCTTGCTTTAATTAAGAGATGTTGTGTTGCATACTAAATTAAGGACTGACGAGACAATAACTATGTCAATGGTGATTTCATAAACCTAAGAGCTGCTCATTAGGCAAAGGAAATCTTTAGATTAAAATACTGTCACCTGTTGTCAACTGCTCCACTTCCCCAGTGAAATGCTGAAAGCAACGGGGCCATCCAGTCGCAGAGAATGTATGGCTCGTGTATAGGAAGAAAGGGAACCTTCTGCTTTCTCAGCTATTTGATGGACAGCCCTTAGGTTCTGTATTACAGCAAAATGAACAGTTAATATACAGGCAAAACTTCAGAACACAGCATTTAACATGTAAATTCATTATGCATGTCAATCCTACAATCCCAATCATTTCATTATGCAAATGAGCTTAATTGGCTAAATTGTAATTACTTTACGTTGCTTTTAAAGCCCCCATCAGCATGCTTTGCAGATACTGTGATTGAGAATAAGATGTTTATGTTTTACAAGTGACTGTTATCTTTGGAGGATACAATCTTCATGTAACACTTCCCTAAATTTGGAGAGAGGTAAGCTAAAGAACTCCCTAGGAAAAGTGCAAGAGTATGCAAGTGGCATAAGCAGAGAGTACCCCATCTACATCTTCCCAAACCACAAGCTGTACTCAGTGCTTTTATTTATCTCAGACACTTGTGGCTCGATCAGTATTGAAAGAGAATGTTATCTTTTCATAAGACAACATGTTCCCCGTTGCACAGCTGCAGAGATTTAATAGGACTTACCTTCCAAAATCCAAAGAGCTTAGGGCACCGGGCCTAACAGTCCAGGCTAACCACAGAAAGACCTCTGCAGCACTACCTTCTGAATTCTCATTTCTCCCTCCACATCTCTTATCAGCACAGCTGCAGCTGAGCTGGGATTACAGGCATTGGCTTCTGGAGGAAGGGAAGAGACCTTCCTCTGTTGGAGAAATGATCTGAACTTGATGTTTACTCTTGGAGGGGTTTATTACAGGATAACACAGATTATTTTTTTTTTCTCCAGCATATATATATGTTCAATAGGTGCCTCAGAACAGAAACTGGCAGATACCAGTTCTGCCATGCTTATTTTAAGCTAAAGTAATCGTACAAAATCTGGCTGTAGTGCCACAGGAGAAGGTCAGCAGAGAGTAAGATTGGTCCAGGACAACAAAGGGGAAGAAGCTACTTAGACAAAAACATCAGTACTCAGTCAGTTAATCTATCCTCCCAATGAACAGGATTCTTCTTGCACCTCTTATTTTCCCAAGGCGCTGTTTCCAGAGCTTTCTGGTCCCTGCCCTTGCCTCTTCCTGATGCTAAAGGAGTTCACTTCCCAGCTGTGATGCAATCCTTCAGGTTTTAGCTGAAGACAAATTTCTCAAATGCAAAGAGCTGAATAAACAATATTGGAAGATGTGAGATTCATAGAACATTCACAAGTGATGTTCTAACATGAGATGGTACCAGTTAAGCCATGCTTTGAGAGAGTGAACTCTAAAAACATGGAGTATATAAACCATGGAGAAGGCAAAACAAAGGCTTCGATAACTCAACTATGAGGACTCTGTGTTAGAGAACTGTCAAAGCCAATTTCAAAGTTGGAGAGAAATACTCGTGTGGTACCAGGATGGCCAGTCCTAGCAAGGTAGAGATCATGGAGGGAATATTTGGGTCCATGTAAAGCAAGCATAAGGAAGGCACTGCTTTTGAAGGCCACTGTGAAAAACCCTGTTCAACTCCCATCAACTGTCTAAATGTCAGTAGCTTCTATATGCACTAAGATTCAGCTGAAGTCAATATCCATCTACCACTAAATTTATGATTATGCATATTTCTTCTAAGCAAAAGGGAAAAACCAAAACATGTTGCTATGAACAACTGAAAATGCCATCTGCGTCACTTCCATTTAACCCTATGCAAACATAAAGAGTCAAGACTATTCACCCATGGAGGGATGTGGAGCCCACGTTAAAGAAGGAGCCACTGAAATGAGAAATTATCTGTAAGAAAATCCATATCCACAGTTTGCTTCTGGATTATTGTGAATACAATTCTGTAAAATGAACCAGCCTTTTGTAAAGTAGGTCTGGTTCTAATCCCACAGCTTCTATGTAACAGCTTAAATTACAGTCCTGATTTTGTGTTTCTGGAACAGCCTCCAGAAAACAGAACTGAAAGGGCAGAGGGAGAGCTGTGAAATTCAGAAATCCCAAGGTCATTGCTATATAATTGCAGGTGACCAATAAAATATCATTTTGCTACTAAATATTCAGGACCTAAATACACTGTGGCTCTAAATTCATTGTTTGGGCTTGCGTTTAGATTTGTACTTTTGCATACAGCCACATTTGATTCAATTGGCTAAGGAAGTACAGCATTTATCTGTATCTAATACTGCTGTCTTTGAGAAGCATAAAATGAAAATTGCTTGTTAGAGCCAGAGGAGATGTTGGTCGTCGAAACAGCTGTTACTCTGATTGCCTGTGGTGAAGAAGTTGACATGAGAAGAGATTTATTTTATTTATTTAGGTGAACTTCTCTTTCCACCAAGTTGCTCATAAAAAAAATCATTATTTCTAAGAGCAGTTTGAGCCAACATGAGGAATTGATTTCGATTTAATCATACAATTCAAAAGCACTGTTCATGATACAAGTGGAGAAAATACTTTCAAAGCAATCATGCAGAATGAAGGGTTAAACCACAGGACGTTATGATCTCTAATTCTTTCTTACTTATTTTCAGATTTTATATTTAAATAGAACTGAAACTGCTGGGCTAGAAAGACTGATAGTTTTACATAATCAGCAATTAAAGCAAAACTATATGGTATTTTCTCCACCCGTTTGGATGACTAACACGACATACTGTTTTCCCCTTGGTGATACTTTATTCCAATTATCTCCAACGTTCTGACGCTATTAAGAATATAAATTATAGTTTTTATGAATAGTACAATAACTAAATATTACATTTAAGGGTTCTTTTTCCTTTTTTTTTTTTTTCTTTTTAATCTGATGCTGATTTCTGTGTTAATTCAAGAAAAAAAATCTTCACAAAAACCCTAGAAAACCCTAGGCAACCACTAGCATTGTAGTGGCGTGTTGCAACTCGTGCTCTCCTTTCTGCCTCAGTTCGGCATTATTTTTGGTCCCAAAATGTACCTCCAATAAGGGAAACAGTTCAGTATCTTCCCCTTGATCCCTTGTAAGCTCCTCTATGATATGAGAGAACTGAACCGAATCTTCTGCATCCTGCTTAAAAGCTTTAAATGTTGGTCTGTGGCATGAAAGAAAGCAATACGATCGGTACTGGTCAGTGCTGACATATGCTTATGTTAAAGAAAGCAGCAGGAGCCATCATTATGCTTTGTATGGATGCTGACACTATTTTGGTGCATAGGTGTGCTCTGAAATTAAGTCTTCGATGTGCTCAGGCAGATGAATGCCTAGTTTCTGTATGCTGTTGAAGCAGAGTGAAATAAAAGTTTCAGGTGCTTTCACTTAAACATTACAGGCCACATCTGCAGTGACCCAGAAGACGTAATACAGCATTTTGCTCACATACAAGCTATATGATTTCAGTAATCTAGCACCCTTTCTGGCTTTAGCCTTTATAAAGTGCTTAAAATAAATGGTATTTTTCTACAGGTTTTGATCAGTGTACATTTTTTTTTACTACCTACATTTCTATTCATCTTTTATCTTCAGACTTATGAGAAAATATAAATTAACAGTTATCTTTCTTTATTGATCTTATAATTGCCCCCAAATGGTAAACAAATAATCAGAAACTCGTGGACTCAGCTCTAAGAAATAATTACTATCTTTCTGGTCTATATCTGCTTTACTCAGGCATCATTTCAATGCCCTTGCAGTAGAGCTGCCTTCTTCCAGATCTGTATTTATCAGCTCACACAGCCTTCTATTTCTTTATTACAAAAGATGAATCGATGACTGCGTGCTGAAATAGTTTTAGTGTAATTAATTAAATACAAACAATGTTGAGTATAAATCCAACTTCCTGAGCAGAAGGCATTCAGTATGAGGGCTGTCCATGTCCCTGTTTTGAGTCAAGGATTTCGTGTGTCATCTCATGCCCTCAGCACTTTTAATATTTGTGCTAACACAAATGCTGAGGAAAAGGTTGTGCCTTATGGACTCTCCTGAGCCAGGGCTGGCATGAGCAGCACTTACTATCACTAATTCCCCCTGAAATAGCTTTTCCCTACAAGACTGATGCGTTTCTTCATGAAACCATCGAAGGAAAAGCACATTTGTTTTTATCCCTTCTTCCAGCCACTTGCTTTAGAGTATTGCCCCCATGTGCAACAGAGTAAAACTCAACCATCACTGACCTGTGAATCCTGCAGTACCGGAGACACGGAGCACCCGTTGAGACCGATGTCTTTCAAGCAGGTAAAAGGAGAGCAGAATCCCCAGTTGTTCCCTATTGGGAAGTCCAGCCATCCTTAGAGGGGCTATCTGTGCTCACAGCCAGCAATTTCTCCTGTTGTGTCCAGAAATCTGTGTCCCAGCACTTTGGGCAAGGGCCTTGTCAGGAGGTAGTAATGGCATAGCTCTGGGTCATCAACATTGTTCTCTTCCAAGAGTGAGAAGGCTGAAGATCATGTTTCATACTGTCCTCCAGTTACAAATATTCCAGTCATAATTCTGTACCACGTAGAAAACCACAAGGAGAAAATGAGAGCCCCTGGCATTCAAGGCCAGGCTGGATGGGTTTCAGGCTGTCAGATCTCGTGGCTGGCAGCCCTGGCCACAGCAGGACAGCTGGAACACTGGATGATCTTTGAGGACTGCTCCTCCCTCCCCTGGGCACTGCTGAGCCTGAACCCAAATACAGAAGCACGGGGCTCCCTGAAGAAAGCGTTCTCTTGAAGGTTACAATGACCTTGGGTGCTTTTAACAGCGCAGCATTCGTGGACAAAATCCTTCACACCACAGAGCAATCTGAGAATTGTTGAATCACAGAGTCTTACATAATCCTTGCTCTACATCTACCCAAAATAGAGGTCTTCCACAAGTACCCTGTGAGACGTCTGCTGCCTTCAAAGGAAACAACAGACCTGCAGAACACTTGAAACGTCTACCTTGACTTCAAGTGCAGTGTAAACCTTCCGTATGCACTGCTGCTGTTGCTGCTGCTCTTACCATAGGCAGTTTTCGGGCTGGGGGCTCATCGGTGTCCTCAGCAGCAGATGGTTCCATGTCCGCTGCCTTCCGCTTCAGAGTCTGCTTCCTGGGGAAGGTGGATTTCCAATCAGCAGACCTGAGGAACACCTTGCGTCCAGCTGAAGTAAAAGGAAGAGGTTGCTGATAAGGTCTTGCTCTGCCTCAAGAGAAATCCCCGTTCTCCTATCATTCCCACAACCCAACCCACAACAAAGCTAAATACCTTTGGCCAGCAGAATTACATTGCCATGTCCAGGATTCTCAGCAGTGTTTTGCACACAGCCATCTCTACCAACAGCGCATCGAAAGGAACAAAGAAACCCACGAGCTGCACTCAGCAATAGTCCAGGGCAAGGAAAACTATGACACACAACAACGCTGAGTGGCAGCATGATTGTGCTGAGGCACTGCAACAAGCTCCTGGTGCTCACCCTTGACTCTCTTCTTGAGAGGCAACTCGCTTGCTTTGGCCTTCTCCTCACATCGCTTGCGCTTTTGCGCAGCCGGGCCATGGGAGGAAGATGGGATGTCACCTGCAGAGAACAGTCCAGGAGAGAACAATCAGAACGTGTGAGTAGAAAGGCAGCGCCTCAAACCCAGATGCCTGTTCAGTGTCTGTACCTCTCTCTGCTGCCTTCTCAACCTCTGTCTGGCTCTCCAGACTTTCTGCAGGGCCGCTGTTCAGAGGAAGGCTCGTGTCAGCTTCTGGCAGAAAGACGACAAGAAATAATTGAAGAGCATCTCTTTGGAGGAAGGTTTCAGCACACCAAGCCACAAGCTTCCCGTATTCAAGCACAGTTTCTTGCGTTTGCCTTTTTTTACAAAATATTAACAAACAAACAAACAAACAAGCCCTCAGTCCCTTTTTGGGTGCCAGGATCCCACGCAGAATGCTGTGTCCCCCTTGGAATGTTGGGTTCTCTCCCTGTGTTCCTGAGTTCTTGGGGCACTCCATGGGCTCCATGTTCCACCTGCCACCCTTCTGAAGACCATTTGATATCTTTACTCAGCACTGCCCCTCTTCCCTTATTCATCCCAAGGGCTACTCACCAGCACCCGCCCAGGCTCCAGCTCCTTCACCATGTGGAAGACATGGACTTTGGCACCAATGACACTGCCAGGGCTGCCCTGGATGCGGACACAGAAGAATCTGGGGCTCTTGTTTCTGAAGCAGTGTTCAGTCAAAATGTAGAGGCAGAAGCCTGAGAAATCATGCTGAAGGTGGTCAAAGGTGCAGCCATGGCCCACACCCAGGGCTTAGCAGGTGGCATTGGTGAGGAATTGTTTGGGGATAATATTGGGGTTGGGGACAGGGTTTGCGATGGTGGCACACAGCCTCTGTGGGTGTTTGGATGAGCAGGACGGTGCTGGGGAAAGAGAAGGAGCAGTAGTTAGATTAGTGGTCCTGCTGGAAGGGTTCCACAGCCCTCCAACCATCCTCCATTTCTCCTCCACTCCTCCTCTTCACCCACTTCTCCATCTCTTCATCCATTCATTTATTTCTTCCTCCTTCCCTCACTCACTACTTCAACCATTTTTCAATCCCTTTGTCCCTTCATCACTCTTCTCCAGCCCTCTTTCCTCATCTCCATTGCTCCCTATCCCCAAAAAAGTCATTAGATGGGACGCACTACTTGTTAGTTTTTTTAATACGATTTTTTTTGTTTGTTTTACTTTAAGTGAATTTTGTGTTTCTTTTGGCATAAGATTCCCATTTAGCTCCGTTCATATGGTTTTAGCCATGGGACAGCACACGTAGTTTTCATGTCACAACTATGCTGCAATGACATGCAGTTTTGCATTTGAGGTCAGGTTTCTTCTGTTCATTTCCTCATGGAATGAAATAACAAATAACACAACATACTTTGACAAAGAAGCTACCACCTTTAGGCAGACGTTGTTCCCTGCGTGTTGATCACATGTACGACTGCGATTACTCCTTTACAGCATCTGTAAGTAATTTAACAATAACAAATCTGAAACTTTTGACATGTTTGGAGAAAATACAGCTGCAAGGAAGCTAGGGCTTGGAAAGCTGGTGCAGTACAGAATAAAAATAGCAAGCTTCAAAAAAGCAGACTTCATAAATCAGAGGTTTTGTAGGTGGACTCTCCTGGGATAATGATTTGAAATAAAAAAAAAAAAAAGAAAAGCTGAAAAAATCTGGCAACTCTTCAGAGATGGAAGTGTTTAGAGTTAAAGTGTAAGCTACGCAACTGTGGGGGGGGAGAAAGGCAGAGGAATAACAAATTAATTTTGTTACTCTCTCATATAAAACTGGACTGTACTAGAAAAGGAAACGAAATCAGATTGCTGAAGATGATTTCAAAAGTATAGATCAGGCATGAGGCCCAAAATCTGCTTAGCCAAGGGGATTAAGTGAGGTGCAACTAGCAAGGGGCATCAAGAAGAACAAGAAATTATTGGGCACATAACTGAAAATAAAGGACAGGTTTGGGACCGTGCTTTGTGGTAAATGTAACGTCAAGGCTCTTTGCACAATTGCAGTTGAAGTATTTAATGACTTTTTCCCTCAAAAGTGCAAGGAGATCAAGTGCCTGACAAACAAAAAGGGCAAGATCTATGGCCAAGACATTAAATTACAGTTTGAAGAATATATAAATAAGTCAGATACATTCCTACAGTCCTGCCCAACAATCTTTGTTCTAAATTGCCTTGAACTTCTAGCCAAGCTGATTAGAGAGGTTAATGGTTATCTTTGGAGACAGACGAGTTCATGAATACATGACCAATTTTACTATTCCTTCGTTTAAATTAATATCTGTGGAAAGGGGAGTTAAAAACTAGGAAAATATGCTGCAAAAATACTAAAAATAATTAAAGATCTTTAGTGAGTCATACTCTATCAAAATAGAGATCAAAAGGTAACTTGATTATGGTTTATAAACACTTTCATGTGGTTGCTTTAGCTTGATACGAATGGGCTGTTTAATATAACATAGGAAGATATGATGCAAAGCAGCAGTGAAGAGCTGAAAGACAGACAAATGCAAAGTGGAAATAATGTGTGGCTTTCTAACAGCGAGGACAATTAACCAGCGGAATACATTACCATAGGAAGTACCACAGAAGTTGTTCCTTAGTCAACATACTCAAAATTCGTGCCCCTTTTGGGGGAAGCTTCTGTCAAATTGACTGTATGATATTTCTTCCTCCCTCCTGCTAGTGCATGTGAATGTAAAATCTGTTAATTTCTTCTCACTTCCCCACATGACTAATTAACGGCTTAAATCCGCTTTCTCATTTGGGTCAGTGGCAGAACTCTAGATCACATATCAGAACAGAGACTGCATATTATTAATCATTACCCAATTACTTTGACTATACTTTAGCCAAGATTTGGGCATCTTGTTTAGATTATTACACGCTTTTAAAATCTTACAATGTCACATAACATTTGCCAAGTGCTCTACGTCATTGTGGCATGGCAGATACTATAATGTAGAATCACATTCATCCACAGATACTATGCAGATGCCAGTGAGAATACAGAAAAATACTGTTCCTTTATTTCAAAGAGCAAAGCCACAACAATAATACCTCTAAGAACTCCATATTTTTTAGCAAGAAATGTCCTTTTCTTTTTCAAAGGTCCAACCCAGTATGTGACACATGTAGAACTGCAAGTTTCATAACGTAATGAGAAAAAATTCAGTACAGTCCACAGCTTAGTGGATATTATTATCAATAGTTCAATGGAGACGTCAATTAAAAGTGTGAAGAAGAAATAGAGAAAGATAGGTACACAACTTAAGGTGTCAGTGTGTAATTTATCTGGAGCCAGCAGGCAAAGCTGGTGTAAAAATAGAACAAACAACATTAATCAAGTGAGTACTACTATTGAAAGTTTGCACAGAAGCAGAACTTACCGGGTTAGGAACTCTGAAAATTCCTATTAACCGACCATTGAAGCAACAGGAAGTCTATTTTCCCTTGCATAAGTCTTAAGTATAAAACTTGGGATATATTACAGTGAAGATACTGTATGAAGAAGTGCTTGCTAAGTTAGAGCTTGGGACTTCAAAGGAGGGGTTACTTTCCCTGGAAACAGTCAGCAGACCTGTTTTGTTTTCTAACAGCAGAGCTCAGGAGTGTAGCAGTTGATCCAAAGATGAATGAGTGGCAATGCCCAGATCAGTTCATTTTTCTCTTTCCCTCGTCTGAAATGGTTCTCAAGACTGAAGGAAGTCCAAGCAATTGAGTGGTATTATTTCAGTGGTTACATGAATTTAAAAAAAAAAAAATTGTTATGTATTTCCTCCCCATTTTGGGAGATGCCATTTGCAGAGTATTCAGGTGCTGATTAAACTGACAAAGCAGTTTTTAGTTGAACACTGCACTAATAATGGGACACTGATTTGAAAATGTTCTATACAGATAGAAGAGCTATTTTATTTATCCACATTTCTGCAAATATTTTATAAATGCTTGATGAACCTAGGAGATACTGTGGCCTTCCATTCTTTCATTCTCTAGGTTCTGCTGTTAACTCAGTTCAGAACCAGTGGTATTTCCTTGGGATGCAGAAATATGAAGCACCTCATAAGGAAGAAACAAGTTACACTTTTCTGTTGTGTGTTCATTTTTTAGGTTGCAGTTTGTTCATAGCTTAAAAACTAGAGTATACAAACGCACTTTTTTGTACATCCATAGAGAAGTGAAAAAGTTGGCTAGCATTCTGTCAGTAATTACCTTTCTTTCCATTTATTGAAAGGAAGCAGAAGTCTACTGCTTTGTCAAAACACTGTATTAAATGAATAAGCACTTTCAAACAATCAATGCAAACCAATTAAATGTGACTCCATGCTTCTAAGCTAACAACCAGAGAGTTAGATTTAAATTGGGATTTTAGTCTGCAAAGATATAAGCTGCTCTTCAATGTAGCCTATAAAATTTACCAGCTATAAATGTCCTGCTCGGATTAGCAGTTTCCCCTCTGTAGGAGCATAACAAAGACACCCAACAGACACCTTAAAGCTCTGGAGGATATTAGTACAATGCTCAAAATCAGCAAAACCAAGTGTGGCATAGAAGCTGATCATTCAAAATCTCCCTATGTGGCACGGACAGCTGCATCTCTTGTTTCCTGTGCCACCTTGAGACATTAAAGCCTATATTATCATATCAGACACAGGTTTCCCAGCCTCACGTACTATGAGGAGATGGACACTGTGAAAGACGCAGCATGCCACGCTGAAGACATTTGCCAGTACTCAGAAGCTAGTTTTCCTCAGACTGCTGTCATACACTGTTCAGTGACTTTCATGAGAGTGCAGCAAATACTCCATACGGCTGGAGAGCATTGTCCAAACGCTGTTTGAGCTGCCTGGGGTCATGCCCACAGCCCTCAGCCTGAGAACCTTTTTCTCAAGCTCCTCCTGACTTTCCCCTGACACAGCACTGTGCTGCTGCTCCCTGGGGTTCTATGGTACCCTAACATCCCTATAGCCAAGTAGGGTAACAAACAGAAGACGATTTTTTTGTGCTGACAAATCAGTAGCTCCTCCTGTCAAAAAATAATGCAAATTAATGCAACCAAGAAAGGTGATTCACATCTAATTTAGACCTACTATAGATGTTTGTAAAGGAAATCTCATGCGGCATTTACAAGCATTATTCAAGGATTCTTGGACTCCTCAGCTGTCTATAGGGAACTGCAAGAGCTTACTTAAAGTTTACCTTCTATATGTGCCTCCCAGAAGCCTTAGACAGCCATTACAAAGTACCAGAAAGTGCTGAACAGTGTAAAGTAAAGTTTAACTGTGTTTACATTTTTACTCACACTCACCAAATACTGTTGGTAACATCGCACATTAATGACTTCCAGACTGCTTTCACCGTGGCTCAAGTTAATCTCCTTGATGAAAACAACCACCTTGGCATTCCTATGATGATATTTCTTCCTTTTTCATTCTCTCCACCTATGGCATCCATTCTCACATGTCAGATGTATTTTCCTGGAACAAAATTGTCCTGAGGAAATAGGATACATTACAGTCTCCTTCTGTTGGAAACGATACCAGCTCTTGCCCAGAACTACTTTTAAATTAAGAATATTGCTTAAAAAAAAAAAAAAAAAAAAAAAAGAATTAAGTTATCTTTAAAGTTTGAACAGTACAAACAGTAGCATAACATTCAAATTTGAGTATTAAAATATTTGGTTAGGCACAGTCATTTCAATACAAGTAATAACAATGTAAGAGGAACAGTGCTTTCTTTCATATTTTCTCTTTAAGAATAATTGGCTGTTGGGTACACAATTTTATCTGCTTTTGTGCTTTCATCCCTCAGTGAGGTAACCTTCAGTCAATAAAGTAAAAAAAAACCCAGCACAATGAAAAATATTCAGGCTTATATACTTCATTTAATTCTATAAACTTTGATAAAAGACGTGTGTGCTTATTATTTAATGCTGTTTCTCAGAAGTGTTTGTATTTAAAACATTACTTTGACTCTCAATTAAGATTCAGAGAGGAGGGAGCCATTAAAGAGTTAGTGAAAAACACGCTTGGTTACTCTGAAGTCTGCAGCTCTGGATGGAATGGTGAGCAATCATTTTTGTGTTGCAAACACCGCTTCCACCAGGTGCAGGTGCTTTATTCTTGTTTGCTGTTCAGCTTTCCATTGCTTCCCCCAGTGTAAATTAGTGGTTGGAAAAAAAGCAGGAGGGTGGTAAGTGTCATTCTCACATTAGTGCCAACTGCTTCCCAGGAGAACATGCTGTGGCAACATGATTAGGTTCTCTTAAAACAATATTGGGTTCTGCAGGTAATAAAGGCCAAGGGACACTGTGACTTAAATAAGAAAATGTTTAGCTTAAAAAGCTGCAGCGAGTTCTCTGGAGATTCTGGACATTTTAAATCTAAAGGATAGAAGAATGAAGAAGATCACATCTTGTGCAATTTGCCTTTACTGCAAAGAGAGTTAAACAATTCTGACTTTGATCCTGCAATCACATTTGGCAGTGTGAAGTTCTAGCTAGAACATAGATGGGCGATAATACAATACTGTAAAACAGCAAAACAGATTTTTTTTTGTTTAAACTCTTCTTTCTAAAGCCCAGCACTCCCCTAGGTAGACACTTTCCTCAGTTGATTGATTTGAAAACTAAAGAAAAGTTATCAAGAAAAATCATTATGTTGTCTCTCCTTAGGTATCCTGGCCAGTCAGCACCGAGAGAGGCAATCATGGATTTATTTGTCACTATTATGGGATTCATGGACTCAGACTTTAACAGCTCCATTTGCTCTGGTTCTGGCAGAAATTTGAAAAAAAAAGTTTGATTAGGTTTTGCTGTCTCTCTGGAATTATAATTTCAGAATATTCCAACAAGGAATTTCATGAATTTCTATAAGATTATGTCTATAATTCTATTACCATCTCAATAAATAGATTTTGGTGGTATTTTTTTCCTTTACTGCTACAGACATCCCTGTTTTCCACAGAACCTTCTTCATTAGTACAACCTATTCTTGCCTCTGCACATACTATGGAATTTCTGCCTGATCAAAAATCAACTCACTGTGATTCTGTCCTGAGGCCCATGATTAAAATCCTTATGCGTTAACCAGCTGGAGAGACCAGTGGTAGCAGCTGCAGCTGGTCTACATGATTTCTCTCTTCATCCTGCAGAAAGTGATAGTTAAAAAAACCCAACAAGATACACACGGACTCTTTTGGGATTTTAGCATTTGACTGCTTTTAAAAATTCTCCATGAACTTGCCCTCTATTTTTAATAGGGAATGACAGAATATTTAGCTGTTTTATAAATACGGAATACCACACGTCTGAGCGTGTTATTACAACAGTAACACTGAAAACACTGTTTATGAAGAATTTTACTGAGCCTCAAATAAAATACAAACTGTAGGGGTATAAAAATTCAGCATCTGATGTTACCTACCAATCACATTAAAAATGTTAGCAAATTCAATTTCACGTGATAACTAATATAAACATCCACCTCTTACAGATTAAAAATGATCAGATGAAACTATTCATGTAATTTAACTTCTGAATTAATGTGAAAATGCCCTTGTTTTAAGATTTACTTGAGTTTCACAGACAATCCTATTCTTTCTCCACATCTACACTTTTTATATAGCTGCTGTAAAGTCAGATTAAAGCTCATGTTTCTTCTTTTTGTTATAGATTTGAGTAATAGTCTGTCATTAAGCTAACCAAGCACTTCTTTAGTCTGGGCAGCAAGGTCAATGTCTAGAAAGAGGAAACCTGCACTAAGATTTATTTACATATTTTTAGTATTGCAGAGATCTAAAATAAATAAAGCATTCTTGTGCTTAGTTAAAAGTGTGTGTTAAATAACAGTAAGATATGCTTGATATGTAAGTAACAAAATTATCTCAGACCACAGAGAAAGCATGAAGCAGGACGTGAAATGCTAGACCCATGAAAGACACGAATGCAAGATTAGAGCATTAATTTGCATAATTCATTTTTAAACCAAGGTTTTTTTTGTGTGTGTACATTGATGTGTAGGCAAACCCACTGGGGAAGAAAAAGCACATTGGCAATTCTTGGACAGGAAAAGGAAACTGTTTCCTGATCTTTATTTCTTCCAGCGTGGCACCATCATTCCTTGCAATACAATTTATTGGAGCAACTCCTGTTATATTGTCTGTACAATTGCTATCTTATAGAACATAGAATCACCAAGGTTGGAAAAGACCTAAAAGATCATCCAGTCCAACCGTTCACCTATTCCCAATAGCTCCTACTAAACCATGTCCCTCAACGCAACATCCAGCCTTTCCTTGAACACCCCCAGGCTCGGTGATTCCACCACCTCCCTGTGCATCCATTCCAGTGCCTGACCACCCTTTCTGAAAAGTAATACTTCCTCATGTCCAGCCTGAATCTCCCCTGCCGTAGCTTGAAACCATTCCCCCTGGTCCTATCACTAATGACACAAGAGAAGAGGCCGACCCCCAGCTCACTACAACCTCCCTTCAGGAAGTTATAGAGAGCAATGAGCCTCCTCTTCTCCAGGCTGTTTATGCAACTGACAAAGCCCATACATATGATTTAGTGACTATCTTCCACTTCCAATCTCTGATGCCTGCCTAATTCACAGTGCCCAACATCTAAACAGAATAACTTCTGGTAACAGAAATGAATCATAACAAAAGATTCATAATGAGGTATTTTGAGCATCTGAAAACTACACTTTTCTTCTTTATCTTCATATTGAATCAAAAATCATTATCTTTCTTCAAGTTCTATCTGAATGAAGGTTGTTGCTTAGGAAAGTGCAGCAAATTCCTCCCCATACTCCACTAACAAATGGTACTGATCACAGCTTTTTCCAGAAGATCTCATCTTGACTCATTGAAGCCTGGTCTAGTATTAAATGTGGAGGTTGGTAGCCCTACCTGTGACAGGGGGTTGGAGATTCATGACCCTTCCAACCCAGGCCATTCTGTGAAGCCATGGCCACAATTGTCCTGTGCTATTTATTTGTACATCAGCCATACCTGTGTTCTTCCAAGACAGTTTAATTCCTGTTGCTTGCACCTGATTCAGCCTAGCAGTATAGGAAAAACTGGTAATGAGAAAGGGCTGGTAACACACTGCCTAAAGATGGCTTCTAAAAGGAAGGAAAGATTGACATAGATCCCAGCTGAAGCGTAGGCAAGGTGGAGGGCTGCAACAAATACTTACCTGAAAACATTTTTGCATAATGCATATTCTAATGCTCATATTTAGCTATATGCTCAAACCCCTTTTCAGCTGGGGCAACGCATGAGTACTACGATTTCAGGACATAAGACTATTGCTATGACTACACATATATTACACCATTCATCCACAAACCATACACTAGTATCACATTTATTTGCATATATTCCCTTATGTATTTTTTTTTCTAATTTAAGAAGCAGATACTAAGCAATTGATGTTATTTGTATTCAGCAGCTCACCCAGGCTAGGTTGCAGGTCACATATTGGCTCAGTGCAAGGTGCACTTTTGAAGATAACTATTTAATTTTCTCTTCCTTTTCTCTTAGTTCCACTGAGAATGGAACATCTTAGCATTAAAAAAATGTGTACCTCAGCAACTACATTTCACATGATTTGAAGTATGAGGTAATGGCAACGTAATAAGTACACAAGTACTTAGAATTCAAACTTTCTGTTCCCCACAAATAGTAAAATACAAAGCACAGCCTAACTGACTCTCTCAATGCCCATTAAATGCCTAGGTACAGAACAACTAGCAATGGGTCCACTACATTATAAGGTACCGAATTCCTGCAGCGCCCCCTGGACCTTCTTAGAGATGAAAACTAGTAAGGTGGTGCAAAAAACACTGTGACCTCTGTAATCAAATCCTTCTGCTGTGTCTGTTAGCTGCGTGGTTGCCAACCTTAAGAAGAAGGGGAGAGGGGAGGGAGGAAGCAAAAAGACAAGGCACAGCTGCTATCTGGCAGCTTGCAATTCATAATGTCAGCAAGCAAGCCTTAAACAGACTATTGGCAGCAGCATGGTAGAAAAGTCGTCTCCTTTTCCCTTTCCATAATACTTCTCAGTATCTAACAGTGTCACGAGTTAATAGCTGGCTAAAAAAATGGTTTATAGATAAGGAAGACGAGACATGCACAAGATATCTAGTGAGCAACATTTAATTGCACCATTACAATTCAGTGCTTTGAATTTAAAAAAAAAAAAAGCTTACTTATTTCACGAGTTTCCCTTTATTCAGCTCCCTCTCACTCCAATACAGTAGGGTGCAGAGTGTTCTCATAGCTCTCCTACAGTTCTCAGGCCAGGTCATTTATAGGAATGCTATTCTACCATCAAGATCAGTATTTCCTCTTTTCCTCATTCTCTTCCCTTCCTTTCTAAAGCCATTTTGCTACTTCATGTAACCCTCTTCCACATTTTTACCACTAACCGTTCTCTGCTGCCTCCCCTTCCCCATGTCCCTTCCTCCCACCCCTGCCTTCTGTGCCTCATGGATGGGGTCAAACAGAACACTCAGCCAGCAGTGCCCTCGCCCCAGCCTGCCCGTTTCCTTCTCACAGAACGCCTGTTACTCCTCAGACACAGCTACTCTGCTGTCCTCTCCTGCAGTGATGCTTCTGCCTCTGTCACTCACCTGTTCTCACTAAGGCAAGCCTCCTTCCTGTAAAGTAAACATCCATCTCTTGAACTGTTTCCTTTGCTTCTGCTTCACACTGAGAACCTTCTCTGTTAATCTCTGCTTCCCTACCAGTTTTTCCTTCAAAATGATGCTCTGCTGTAACATCTGTTGGTGGTAGGTTCACTCTATCTTTGAAACCTTTGGCTAAATTCCTCCTTTGTTGCATTTTCATTTATTTTGTCTAAACCTTGAATACTCTAAGTTATTTTTCTGTGCCTTATGTCTACCATATCTAACTCTCGCTACCTGCTCTTAGTCCTTTACCTCATCACTCCTCTGACTCCCTAGATCCTACATTTCATGACTTTATCGACAGCACTTCACACTTTGAACAATTCTTCATTTTCTGTTAAGCTCTCTCCTACGTCTTCTGCCAAAAATATCCCCCAGCATCAGCAGTGCCACTTCCAATTACACCAAGGTTCAGCTGTCTGCTAAGATGCCCAGTGAGGAGGTGCCACAGACTGCAATGCCCTGCTGAGGGGCAGCAAACCCTGAGGTACCACTTCAGAAATCATTGATTTACTCACAGTCATCCACTTGGCCAGGCACTGGTCAGGCTAAAAGAAAATGCCCATACAGGAGAGTAACCAGTTTCACTTAATCTTATGTTAGAGACAATGTGTTCTGCTACACCATGCTACGTCTGCTACAGAAAATGGAATAACTCTGTGTCCCTGGAGTTGCTTGTGAGGCCACTGGGCAATTTATAGGTGGATAAAAGCTGCATTTGAAAAGTATGAAGTTGGTAATAAATAAAAAGAAGGTTATCTGGAAGTTTCCAAAGCAACTTAGCTTTTAAGAGAAAGTCAACTACACACTCAGGAGAGAACAAATCAGTTGGTGGTTGTTATTTCCTAGAGAGATTTTTTTTTTCTTTTTCTTATTATTTTTTTCTTAATTTCTTTAAATATAGCTGACAACTTCTATAGTCCTAAAACGTCCTATGACAAGATTTACATCAGAATGCCACTCTCATTGGCTTCCCTGCTCTGCTGTCTTTTCCCTACCAACAATTTCAGCATTTTCAAACACATAAACTTGTTACTTTGACCATTCTTGGAATAAATCTGTGACCAGTTTCAGGCATGCTATAAGCTACAGCTACTAAAATCATGTTCAACTTTGCTGACATGAGGATCATCCTTTCCAAAAACAATACAATGAAGTTCTTTGGTTGACAGATTGAAATGAAGGATTTGAGTAATAAAATACATGCATGCATACATACACACACACACACACATATATATTTTTGCCCAAATATTAACAGCACAGCTTTGGAGAATGTTTAAAATCTGTTCAAATAAGTGAACTGAAAAATATCACTGTGGAGTTTAGCTTGTGCATGCTCTGACCACTTTAAAGCAAAATAGGAGCATGGTTCTCCTGTTAACATTGAACAGTGCAGCCTTGACAAAGCAAATTAAATTATAGCTTTTTTCCTTCATTTCCTTTAAA